GAGAGAGCAATTGGGGAAAATAACTTCCAAACAACTAGGATGGAGGAGCAATGCGCTCTTTAGTGAGACACCACATTAAAATTGAGTACAACTATTATCTGCACGACAGAAACGTAAGGTTGTGGGCCATCATCTCATCAGTGAGCTCAGTTGAGGAGACAAGGAGAACTATCTATGCGTGTCGATGAGATGAGACTGCACCCAACTAAAGCAGAGTAAGAAAAACCGAGTCATTCCCAAAGTTGGGTCCAGTCAAAAACACAGCGAGATCGGCAATCCAGAGATGACCAAGATAACTTGTGATTGGCGGATAATCAGCAGTCGGTAGTATTCAAATGAGCAGTCGACAACAATTTAAACAGTGAGCAAACAGTAACCAGACAGCTATCAAACACCGTACAGTTGACATTCAAACTACCTCGTGCTCGAGGGTGGCTATTGGGGAACACGGCTGTATGATCTGAATGTAAAAGAAGGGAGACATGAATAACGATGAGATCCTAGCAGTAAAGATCACACTAATTAGAGAAAAGAAAGAGGGATGGGAAGAAGAAGTTATCAAAAACCTGGAAACCAACAGGCAAGTACAAAGAGAGCATGCAGTCGGAATAGCGGGCGAGAAGAAGTACATCGAGTACGTAATTTATTTCTATGGGCCTCACAACAAACTGCACAGTATGAGTTCCATGCTAGAAAGTGTGGAAGAGGCCAGGGCCAAGCTCGGGTAATCCCWGAARTATAAAAAATCGTCATTTYCGTTCCCTTCAGTATTGAAACAGCAATCAGACGGGCAATCAAGCTAGTGATCAGAAACAACAACTAGGGAAAYMRCAATCARAAATCGCAGTCAGACATAACGATCRGAAACAACATTTTGAGCAATATYCRAAGGGCATCCAAGCCGTKGGCATTTGTYTGTCAAGCTCAGCCTCATTCCTCTCTACCAGGGTGTAGCTACTTACCAAGCATATGAGGGAGATCAATCCCATTACAGTTGACCAKTCGGTCCTTAACAGTCTCAATCRGATCGCTGCCAGAGAAAGCTTCCCCTACAAGTACATCGGGATTGATGGGTTCAAGCGTGAAGACCYGTCTATCTTCGTCGCACTCACTGAGTTCGYTRAAGGTACAGTCAGTGACTTACARWTTTTTCTGAAAAAGGGGAATGAGACACACCCTCATTTTGATGCAGTATGGGCAGCAACARCCGGGTATGTGCAGTGSAAAGCTGAGAGGCTCGAGGGTAATGTAAAGCTGGTTTACARTTTTGGTCCTAAGCTTTTCGYGGATTATCCCAAGCCTCCTGTRCCCTACTATCTTACTGATGGCTCTTRTTGGGGTGGTCTGGTGGATCTGGCCRAGTGATACATATCRCCAGCAGTGATCAACTATGAGGCAGTGACCGAGCCCTCTGAGTTTCCGCATCTCAGGAGGGGCGTTTTCTCTCAGCCATATCTCCYCACACTATGGGAGGAATTYTGTGCCAYKCTTGACTTTYGTATTATGGGACTYGGCTGGAAAAGTTTGGATCTAGTGGGCTTCAGGTGGCATTACATTCAGAAGCCACATCCTCAGAGAGTACGGAGACATGGCAAGAGGCTCAGGCGACAAGCAACAAAGTGACAGATGAAGGGTGGAGTTCTGAGGGTTGAGTGAGGACTTTTGATTTGGTGCTGGCCATGCTCTCATCCACATGAACTCCCTGAGACTATTATGAGTTCTCATTCTTCCCTCATTCATTTGAGCTTGTCACTTGCTCGAGTCAGTCGGTCTTGCTTCTTGCTTTGTTCTTGCCTGATGATTGCTATCGTGGATGATTCTGTCACAGTTGTCAAAATCAGATTGTCATAATTGATGCATGCATAGCGCCCAATTATTTTTAAAGTTATTATTTGCATAATTTTCTGCTGTTCCGAATCAAAATCAAAGATTCCTAAGACCGGGGACCGACGAAGACCGTAATTGAAGGGTCTCGCTCGAAGCCGGACGCACACAACAGGAAGGGATTTGCATTATTTAATTTATTTTATTTATTGCAATCACATACAAAACCCTGCGTGACAGCCTGTTGGCTTTCCGGTCGCCTAAAGTGGTCCGACTGGAAAAAGTGCGACAGCGGGCACTGAGAGGTGCGGGGCGCTGCAGGGCAGCGGGGCGCCAAGCGGCCATAGCCGGACTGCAGGGGCGCGGGCAGGTGAAGGCGACGGTGGTCTTCAGGAAGGAGGCGCAGGTGTGGGTGGTCAAGGGGTGACGAGGGGAGTCGAGAGTACGTACCTGGTGTATGTGGGAGATCGGTAATGGTGTTGACGTCATGTACATTGGTCTTCGAAGTGAGCCTGTTGCACGGATGTAGATAGCCTAGGTAGGATGAGTAGAGTAGGCTGGGCGTTGGGCGCTAGACAGTAGGAGCGAAATTGAAATATTGTGTTGGTGTGGCCTGAGGGCTTGGACATTGGCTCACCAGCTTATTGTATCGCTCTTATTTGGATGGAATCTTGGTGCACTTGAGCTCTCTGCTTGTTACATGACTATCTGGACTTCTGCGTGATTTTGCAATTTGGTTATCTGTGTATATCGCTTCGCTCATATTCCTTGCACAAAGCCGCAATTGTAGTTTCTGAAACTACGGAAACGATCGAGAGCAGATCATGGAAAAGACACAGGTACGCATGCTTGTGCGTTCTACATCTACACAAATGCCAAACAGGTAGGAGAAATATCCAAAACATACGCACATGCTTCCTTTCACCTATTCAAGGTGGCTTGGCGATGTAGAAAAGATCACGACATTTCACCTCTGGAAGTGACTTTTTCCAGATTTTTTCTACAGGGTAGGAAGCCAGAGAGCAAAAGACAGGGATACAATGACCACCACAAATTGTTGCCTGATATTCTGCAGTTTTTGAGAAAATGCTATTCTTTTTATCTGTTTTCTGAGAATTCCCAGTCTGAGTCTGTACTGATGTGATTTGCTGTGTTGTCTGAGAGTGTTTAAAAAAAAGCACCCCAAATTCTCGCTCTCATTCCCTCCACAAATCATAACAAACCATCCATAACGAAAAAGTATTGTTAGACAGTATATAGAAAATGTAATGTTCGCCACATTTCTGTGGTTGAGTGCCAAGTGCCCACATCATCCGCCGCCGAAGTGGCACACATGCACATACACATTTACATATATATTGTCACATGACTATGAACTAAAAGAGTGCACTTTGCGAAAAAAAGGCAAGGATTAAAAAAAACAAAACAAACATGAGTGCAAGGAATATGAGTGTGCACGATATACAGAAACCAAGTTGTGAAATCACACAGATGTCCAAGTGCCTACTCTTATCAGCACACCTAGCACCAGAACGGGCTGTTCTTCCAAAAAAAATAAAAAAAAATAAAAAAAAATCGTGTCCAAGCACAGAATAGAAATGCACCGAAAAAACCATCCATAAAGAGCAATACAATAAAGTAATGAGTCAATGTCCAAGCCCGTAAGCCACACCAACACAATATCCAAAGTCGCTCCGCTCTGTCTGGCGCCCAGCGCCCAGCCTACTCTACGCGACTATCCTACCTACAACTGTGTTCACACAACAGGCCCACTTCGATACTCGAAGACCAATGTACATGACTGTCAACCATCGCCGACCTCTCTTCATGCACCAGGTATGTGTCCTGTCACCCTCAATCAGACCTTGATAACCCCACTCTGCGCCTCCTTCCCTAAAGACCACCAGATCACTCGCTGTACCTCCTTGGCGCCCAGCAGCCCGGCTATGGCCGCATGCGCCTCACTGCCCTGCAACGCCCCTTCTTCACCACCTCGCGCCCCGTCAGCGCCTTTGGCAGCAGCGCAGCATCAAGCGAGAGCGCAGCAGCACTTCCGCATTGCCAGCACTGGCCAGAATGCCTGGCCTGGACTGCCCTACTCCTTTTGTGGAAGTGGCAGCCTNTTCCGCATTGCCAGCACTGGCCAGAATGCCTGGCCTGGACTGCCCTACTCCTTTTGTGGAAGTGGCAGCCTCCTGGATGCTGCGTGTGGCCTGGCTGGAAGCTTCCAGTAGCTTCTGGTTGGGCCTCAGACCCTGCGCCCAGGCCCGAGACTACAGTTGAGGGCCTGGCCCTTTTCAGTTGGGCACGGCCTGAGTCTCCGGACTTGGGCTGTTTGCTGCATCTGTGCAGGGCTCCCAGGCAGGTGCGTCGACGATACTGCTTTTAGAAAGGCCGATAGCCTGCTTTCCAATGTATCGGCCCTGCTTTGTGTGTATGTGCCCAAGCACGACTGTTAAGGCCTGGGCCAACTGTATGACGCAGCTTTGTGAAGCTCACGCGTCTACCCAACCAACTGGCGTGCTGCGAGAGCCTGAATACCCACATATTCAGGCCCGCCTTCACTTAGGGCGGGCACTCGGTTTGCTTGGGGCCTTGGCCCAGATAATGCGATGTCTGATAGGGCCCCTTAAGGGCTTGTTCCTCGCATTCCATCCCCCTTAGCTTCGAAAGTCCGATGAGATGCTTCATGCTGGTGCCTTCCCCTTTAGTTTCTTCTCATAATCTGCCACGATCTGAGGAGCTGTCTTAACAAGTTCCTCCCTTGAAATCCATCGATCTTCCTTCCGATCAGTATGATGCCTGAAATGTAATATGTACTTTCTTGCAGGTTTGGAGGTCTTCCCCTGCCAGGTGGCTTGGGAACAGGCGTGTCTCTGTGATCCAGAATGTCATCGACGTCCACGTGGCCATCCATGGTTGGGGGCAGCATAGATCTTCGTGATGGGAACTGTGCTTTCGCAGCGAAATGTGCAAGCTTGGAGGCGTGAAAAACAGGGTAAGCGCGCAGGTGACCAGGGATACGAATGACGTACGAGGGACCATCCAAACCATTCCCCACTATGTCTACGACTTCCCAGGGACCGAAATACTGAGGCATTAGTTTCCTGGAGATGCCAAACTCCTGTCCCAACTCACCAGCCTTGACCCAGACACGTCCCCGTACCTGAAATGTGAACTGTCGGTGACGTTTGTTCTCAGATGCAATCATAGCTTCTTGAGATTTCTTGATATGTTCGACAGCCTGCTGCAACAATTTCTCATACTGGACACCAAATTCAATGGTCCCAGGAGTTGCAGCAGGTCGGGTTTTCAAGCAGAAGGAAGTCTAGAGCAGATCTAGTCTTCCATCCCAGATGCAGCTGATTAGGACTGACGTCGGTGGTGCTGTGTACAGCATTGTTGTACAGGCTGGCGATGAGAGGTAATTTCTCATCCCAGTCATCCTGGCTGGGCTTGATGTAATGCCTCAACAGATGCTGCACCACACGGTTCATTTGTTCAGCCTGCCCATTTGCTTCGGGATGATTCCCATAAGTCATCTGAAGCTATTGTCGGTGGCCTTCTTCCACATCTCACTTGTGAACCGCACATCCCTATCACTAACGATTGTCTTTGGCAGTCCAAAGTCCCGCACCCAGTTGTCCATGAACAACTTAATGACGTGCTCAGTCCTGGCAGTCTCCGGCATGGCAATTAGTCTAGCATACTTAGTAAACCTATCCACTATGACGAAGATGTGCTTCTTGCCATTCTTGCTGGTCACAAGTGTATCCATGAAGTCCATGGAGATACTCTGCCCTGTGCCAGCAGGAATGGGTAGAGGCTTGAGTCCGCAACTTGTCCCGCTGACAGACCTAACATGTCTGTACGTACGTCTTTGCATCGTCTAGCATGTTAGGCCACCAGAATCGTTGTACTAAGTTAGCACTGGTCTTCTTATAGTTGAAATGTCCCGTTGCGTAGTGGCACTCACCTAAAAATAAACTACGCAAAATCTCCCTAGATGGAACCTCTTAAATCCTGCCTTCTCGAGAAAGAGTAACCCATCCACCATCACAAACTCGTCAATTGTGGCCTTGTCTTTGGCCTGCAATTTGTTGATGATGTCCATCGTGATGGGATCTTCCTTGTAGGCTTCCACCAAAGATCGAGTAACGTCCTCAGACAAGCCAAACTCATAAATCAGCGCACCTAGGTAATCTGCCCTCCTAGACAACGGATCTGCAACCTTGTTGTACTCTCCCTTCACATAGTCTAGTTTGAAGTCATACTGATCTATGACTTCAATCCAGCGTTTGAGTGCATCGGAGATAACTGGTTGGGTCGTGATCCACTTGAGGGTCTGATGGTCAGTTCTCAAATAGAAGAACCTCCCTAACAAATAGTGCCTCCAGTGGACGAGTGCCTTGTAGATAGCATAGAGTTCCCTTTCGTAGGTGGACTTTGCCAACTTCTTTGATGGCATCTTTTTGCTCATGTACTCGACTGGTCTCAACTTTTTCCCTTCCTATTGAGCCAGCACTGTGCCAATGTTGTATTGGCTTGCGTCAGTGGTTACTACAAATGGCCTTTGCGGGTCGGGTACCATGAGAACCTCATGATGCGAGAGAGCATGATTCAAACTCTTGAAAGCAGCCTCACACTCGTTGGTCCACTCCCATGGTGTGCCAAGTCGAGTTAGATCAGTCAAGGGAGATGCGATCGTACTATACTTATTTACGAAGTTGCGGTAATAACCTCACATTCCCAAGAATGATCTGGCCTCAGTCACAGACTGGGGTCGTGGCCAGTCATGTATGCCAGCCACCTTTGCATCTTCGGGCCTAATACCATTCGCGGATACTTCATGACCCAAGTACAAGATTCGAGTGCGACCGAACTCGCATTTCTTTGTGTTTATCTTATACTTGTGTTGCCGGAGGAGTGGAGGTACTTTGCCTACATGCTGAGAATGCTCCTCGACAGTTCTACTAAAGATAAGTATATCGTCGAGGTACACGATAACAAACTTAGCTAAGTAGTCATGGAAGATCCTATTCATGGTGTGCTGGAATGTACTCGGCGAATTGCAAAGGCCAAAGGGCATCACCACAAACTCATACAGACCGTACCTGGTCTGGAATGCGGTTTTGTGCTGGTCCTCTGGTCTTATGGCAATCTGATGGTAGCCGGATTTTAAGTCTATCTTTATATAGTACTTAAATCCCTGCACCCTATCCAATAGGTCGTCGATGCGTGGTCGAGGCTTTGCGTTTTTAACAATGCTGGCATTGAGGCCCCTATAATCAATGCACATCCTTAGTGTTCCTCCTTCCTTTGAAACAAACAGGACTGGTGAGCCAAAGGGGGAAGTGCTAGGCCGTATCCAACCCGTTTCTGTGAGCTCTTTCAGTTGCCGACGAAGCTCGTCGAACTCCGCCGGAGCCATCCTATAGATTCTCCCTTTAGGTCTCTTGCTACCTGGGATGATCTCTATGGCATGGACAACCTCCTTGTCTACGACTCCTAAGGGCTCCTCGAACAGATCAGGGTACTTAGCAACAATTGTTTCTCTCTCAGGGGGTGTTTTAACGACCCTCCCTTTTTCAAAGACATAGACTGAGTACATTCCTTCCTTTTGGTTTTGTTTATAATAGTTATAGAAGGCTAATGGGCATAAGCACCCATAGGAGTGTATTAACCTATTGGCTTTATATTTAGCCAGTCTAACGGTCCTCCCATTAGGCAACTCGTGCTTCAACACCTTTTTGTCCCAGTCAAACTGGGGCTTGGCAACCTTGAGGTAGTGCATGCCCAATAACATGTCAAAGGGCAAATCATCGCTCACCAAGAATGATATCTTACGGTTTATCTCTCCTCCTTGGTAGGAGAAAGTGCAGACTACGTCCTTGACATAGTCCTCCACCGTCATGCGCTCCTTGTTGGCCAAAGTAGATGCTACCGGTTTACTAAGGCACTGCACCCGGTCCTTTAGGCGCAATCTGTCAACGCAGTCGCAACTTATGAAGTTTCGTGTGGAGCCAATGTCTACGAAGGCGCCACACTTGCGGCCACCCACACCAACTTCCACAACGAAATGCTCCCCTCTAGAACCTCTACTCAGTGCCACCCAGGACTCACGAGGGTCCCTTGCCGACCACTCACCTTCAAGGTCCTCTAAGGCCTCAGAGCATAGTTGGGTCCGGATGCGTCTACGGGGTGACTAAGGAGTCAATAGCTTCGGCCAACTCTTGAAACGGGGAGGGTACATCGCCCACTTCAACGAGAGTAGAAGCAGCTACACCTTCTACCGGCCCAAAGTTTTTCCCGAGCTGGAGCTCGTAAAGGCCCCAGACTGAGAAGAAGGAAACCCACCCTCAGGAGGGATCTTCTGCAAGACCTTCGGGTTCTTGCACTTAAACTGCGTATGGTCGTACCCGCCGCAGTTTATGCAAGCACCACACGACCAACGGTCTCGCCACACTTCCTGATCCAAGCCTGCTCTAACCCAAGCAACTATCTTGTTTGGATTAGCAGCCTGCCCCTGACTCCTTTGCTGACCGCCCTTGTCGCGGCCTCCTACCTTAGTCTCTACTGCGGCGAGGTTGCTACCCTCAACACTCTCCTCGCCGTCTAACTCTGCACCCTCCACAATTTCAGAAACATCATCGATTTCAGTTTGATTCCCGTCGGAATCAAACATCATCAATCAACTACCCTTCTTCTTCCATTCCTGTGGAGTCTTCTTCTTTCTTCCATCCATAGAAAGGGCTTGAGCACTACCCAGTGTAGCCTCTAAGTCTAGGGCCTTCTTGCTGAATGACTCGAATGTGTGATACTCTCTTCGAGCCTCACTGGCTAATAAGTTATTGATGTTTGTAGGAAGACATCTCTAGAACGTGGTCAACAAGACCTGTGGATTGTACTCCACTCCTGGGATGACAATCAGGCGCTCTATGACAGTGCTAAGCTCTCTCACCGACTTGTACTTCCTAGCATCAAGCTTTAATAGCCCATCGGTGGCATCTGTGCCTGCTGAGAGTTGTGCCATCGTGCTTCCACTAAGTCCATAAAGCTCTCTAGGGTTTGGGTCTATGCCCAATCCCCTTTGAAGCTACCAAGCCATTAAGCCAACGAGCTGTTGAACCCTCCAAGTAGGATGCAGCAGTTATCACCTCCTCCTCTACCAATGCCCTCTTTGCCCTCGCCCACACTAGCACCGTTCTCAACCACATGTCGAGAGCCTCATCCTCCTTGTCTCCTGAGAAGGTTGGAGGTGGTTTCAGGCGGGTCTTGGGGTACCCAGGTAATTGCTATCCCGGTGGCGGGACAGGTGGCGACTGTGGTGTAGCTCCAGTCGCTGGACCAGAAGATAAAGAAGCAACAGTCTGTGAAATGGCTGCTGCTGATGTACTACTTGGTGATGGTCCGGACTGAGCGACATAGGGGCCTTTCATCGATGAGAATGGCAGTGATGACAAGACTGTTGGCCTGATTCTTGGCCTGTGCATGGCGTTCAGGATCTGGTCTAAGGTGTCCTGGATTATATCCAGTTTACTGTCCATGTATCCGTGCATGGACAGGATGCTCGCCTTAAGAATCTTTTCAGTATTACTAAGGGTCGAGTCATCTAACCCCTCCAGTGCAGCCTTGTCTGCCTCCCTACCCTTTAGTCCGACACTCCTATCTCTAATCTCTTTCTCTCTTTTAGTAGCATGTTTAAGTTCCTCCTCTAGCCTTAAACGGATCCTCTCAGCTTGCTGGAGCTCCATCTGCTCCTGAGTGCGTGAAGGCGGCAAGGTGAACTTCGAGCCCGCCATTTGACTAGTGCCAGCTCCTGACGTACTGGAGATGGACTGCGAACTAGTCGCGTTGAGTGGCATGCCCAACGTCTGACCAGTGGACTGTGCAGCAGAAGTGGATGAAGAAGTAGCCATAGCTACTGCGCTAGTTGCTGCTGCTGCTAACGCGCGTTCAGTCGCTGCCGCTGCCTCTCTCGCAGTCTCTAATCTATGGGTCCTTGCTTCGACCCTAAGCCTTCTTTCGTGTCCTGGTAGTAGAACCTGGTACACAACGGGTATCCTACCGGTCTCCTGTCATGTCTGCCTCCTATCGTCAGATGTGTCCTCAACCTCTGATCCACTCATGAGCTAGGTAGACGCTATCTGCACTAATGTCCTCGCTGGGACCTACCGCAACATACGTCTGACCGGTTCTCAAAATATAAATAAAATAATAGATGTTCCGCGAGTTACCTAGACTACTAGTCAAGCGGCATCAACAACACCTACACAAACTGTACATATGTAGTCTACTTCTTATCTTGATTAGTCTGTTTAGAAGCATTGAGAAGAACTGACTATGGTGGATTACAGTCCTACTCTAGGCTGTCTGTTAGGTGTCGGCACTCTGTCAACCAACTAATCAAAATAAAAATCAACTACACTGAGCAGATGTATGCACAATGGATAATATAGTGATGTACAGTTGAGTTCTCAATTGGAATCCCCTTCCCCTGTATCCAACGTACCTATGAGCATCATCAAGCGGCAGTGTCTAAGGTGTGCAACCACGGCCCACCCTGTGCCCAAGAAGTATGCTTATGACCAGCCTGCCCTTTATTTATCCTCGAGTGCAACGAGCCTTACGTCTGACTGATCTGGCCGATCAAGAGGCAATTTAAGGACGAACCCCGAGAGTCCTCATGAATTCTTTAACGTCGCAATCAAGACGACGATCACAGCCAGTGGACAGTTCAGACCCCAACCAGAAATGTTTATAGACGGTCTAGGAGTGTCTCCGTAGGACTGGTCAGTCCGCACACCCCTTCTATCAGCGCAGCAAAGAGCCTCAATGCACAAAGCAGCATGGCCTGCGTGTACTACTACCCATGGGTTGGCATGGTGACCGTGACCCGTGCTTCGACCAGGGCCCTTCAAAGGCACCGCCCTCTCCTGCCAGATGCGCCACCGGGAACAATGTCGTCTCTCAAGGTTGAGCGCACACGACTCTTCACCAAAGAGAGGACACTCAAGTTGGAATCACTTCCACACGGTAAGAAGATTTTGGGAGGGTAGATAAGAAATAGGAACAACGTACCTGAAGATAGCTGCCCCCAACCACAGATTTCTCACCAGTTGGGCCGACGTGCATTTCGACGACTGGTCATTGCCTCGGTACCACCCACAACGTAACACAGTGCCACCTCAGCCAAAATGCCACGTCGGCATACTCTCATCATCATGCATACACCCGCTGTCGCCACAGCTCCCACGCTGTCGCCACAGCCTTCCAGCGGCCGGCCTCTCCACCTAGGCCCCGCTAATCAACCAGCGCCAAAGTATCCTTACTGCACATGAAGCATCGTCAGCGCACCAAGTAACAATGCCGCCGGTGCCAGGTAAGCGGCGATCACTAACCAGCTTTGATACCAAATTGCAAGGAATATGAGTGTGCACGATATACAGAAAACCAAGTTGCGAAATCACACAGATGTCCAAGTAGTCGTGTCCAAGCAGAGAATACAAA